TTGAAAAATCATATCAAATCCAGTATTATTCAAAGAGACGTTTTAGAGAATTTTAGAGAAAAATGGTTAATGGAATTTTAAGAGACGTTTTTATGATTTTAGTTGAAAAGAAAACCACCAAAGATCATACTTCAAGAGTTGTTATTTGGAGAGAGTTAGCCGAAACTTTAAAATAAAAAAAATTCCCCCACCAATGACTCCTCCACCAGACCTCATCTTGCGGAGAACGCTAGACATCTCCTCTCTCTTCCTCTTAGCTCTCTTGTGTGTACCCAACTTCCTCTTAGCAACCGTAAGTGCTCTCTTGTCTTTACCAACCTTGAGAAGCTCATTGATTCTCTTCTCATAAGGTGCAAATCCAGCAACTTTCCTTATCAATGTTCTGATGAAGATTGTCCTCTTGCTCGTTTTCCCTTTGCGAGAGTTAGGACGAGGAGCCAACTCGCATCTTGTGACAACGTGTCATTTGTTCAATCCAACAAACAAACCAGTCTTCACTTGTGGAGTTGTCATCTTCTACTTCTCCTTGTTTTTGTTTCAACCTTCGTCAATGGAGAAGCCTTTGGATTCTCGCGTCTTGTGACGACGCGTCCTTTGTTTCACTTGTTATGTTTTTGAGTTTTGAAAAACTTTTTTGATATCACACAAAAAAACTCCAGTATCTTCTAAAATCTCACTATAAAGTCTCACCAAATGCCCCTTATTTTTTTATTTTTAATAATAATTAATTTAGCAAATCTTTTGAAAGTCCTTCAAATCTCCTAAAATCTCTCCAAATCTAAACTCCTTCGGATTTTTCAAAATCCCTAATTGAATACACCCCCCTAAGAATTCAATTTTAGAGACGAAATTTGTCAAAAACATTGGAAAAATTAGTTCCACTGTCTACTTCATAACTAGCTAGATATTTACTGTTTGGATATTCTTTGAATATCCGATTGGATTCCTAAAAAGTATTTGAAATAAAATAAATTTTGAAATTTTGTGTAAGATAAAAATAGTAAGAATAAATTATTTTCCACGCAAGAAAATAATAAAAAATCAGAATTTTTATTTTATATAATCTCTACGGTTTAATTTCTTATAGAAAATTTAATTTTATAATTACATTGATAAATTCACATATATATAATAACTTTATATTTTTCGTAAGTCTGTTTATCTATATAGAGTTAACATGAACGTATTAATAATTTTGTAACAGAACATAGATACATCAAGTTTAAATTTTGTCTTTTTTGTTCATTGTCTAGCGGATATTGCATTTTAGTATTTAGTTTGCTCTTTAAATTTTTCCTGTTTTTTATTTTGATCCAAAAGAATAACGGATTGAGGAGGTTCCTACATATATATTTTGTGGAGACTTTTATACGACTATACGAGTACTCCAACTCAAACAAAAACCAATGCGTAGAATATATTTTAAATAGAAAATTTCAAAATATTCTTACAAATTACTACTTGATATAATAACATAAGATTTTATAAAGATAATAAAAATACTCTAAGCAGTTAGAAAGATTTTATATATTTCTCCAAAAAATATCAT